TCCAGCCGCATTCATTACCGCCGAACGGCACCCGATGACTGAAGGTTTTCATCAATATAATCATCAAATTTCAAATGCAAAAAAATATAAATGTGATTGCGAGGTTATCATAAATGTTTCAATTACATATCCCTAATTATAGTGTATACGGTGATGTTACCTCGGAGGGATTCAGCCTGAGCTGTGATTTCATTATCTTTTCGGAGTAAAACATGCAGTTATCAGCGGCAAAACTTCCCCCTCGTGACTTCCATCCCAAATTCATCCTATCATTTCTCCCGGCAACTTTTATAAAGTGGGGAGAAGTTTAGAGAGGGATCGGGGGGGAGGGGGTGGCGGGTACTGGCTGCCAATGTGGGAACGCAAGGTGAAATCACTTCACAAACTCTACGTGAAATCGTCAGAATTCAGATACTTTGCGGCGTTTCCTCGGGCTGGAGTCTTTTATTTGTAGCGTAAATCTTTGTCTATAAAATAACATTGTATTTACCACTATTTTTTATTTCTCCCTAATAATGAAAATAACCCCCAAAAATGCCACAAATGTATAGTAGAGACATTGAACAATGTATAAAGGCAGTGTACAGAAATTTGAGGACGCGTGACTTATTTTGCACACATTGTAGCCATCGAAGGTCATGAAGAATCGATAACACCGACACGTTTTCAATCCTCGTTTTCACAAGTTTTCTTCTTAAAATTTCTATAAATAAGAAATCTCAGAGAAAGGAAAAGAAGACATTCAAAGAAAATGAAGATGAAAGCCAAGGGGTATTTTTAGCCATGTTGAGGAAAGAAACAGGAATATACAGTAAGTTCTGTCTGAGCTTCTGGTGGCTCTCAATGTACATTTCACCTCCGTTTTAGGATGCTGCAGACAGTTCCCGGGGGAAACCAAACAGAAACACAAAAGAAAAGTACAAATAATACATTCTATGCTGTAGAAACATTGCCAGCACTGAAATCTATTATATTATAATGCCCATTAATTATGCTAAGGGACATCGAAGTAGCTAAAAGAACATTTTGCTAGAAGCAGGAGCAACAATTGGCTTCCTCCTCAATAATGACCCCCAAAGCCACCAGGCAGTTCCTCGGCCTCACATAGATCCCGTTCTTAGCTGTACCTCAAGCCTAGAAACATCAAGGAAGAAGTGGACTGCTAGACCCCGGAGGAAGCCTGATCCTTCCAGCAAGTGTTTGAGGAGTCGTTTTAGGGAGGGGGGGGGGGGTTGCTGTCCTTCCTTTGCGGGTT